AAATTGCGAAGGCTGTCAGAATGATGTCGGAAACAAAACCTCTCAGTGGCGCACAGAAACGCAGAAAAAGGGCACAAGAGGAAGCGCGTATGAAAAAAAATTAAAGTAACCAAGATAAACAGCAAATTTTAGGTTACCATTGCCTTTTAATAGCGACATGTTATGCTTTTTGACGGAATGAAAACGAGAGTCTTGCTGCGCCACTACTGCAACCTACCCCGTCCAATAAAACAATTGTATTACATGTCTTCTATTATTGCACATATTTATATAGTTTAAGCATTTGGAGAATATCAGAAATTATCCAAGTTACTGAGTAAATGCATTTAAATATACACTTTACTTAAAGACATACCAAAAACACAGGGTGACACAAAATCCATTTGTAATTCCTCCATTACCTCTAATTCAATGGGAGAAAATGTATCCGGCATTGAACTTCTGCTTGTGTAGGATTTTACCCAACTGTTTCAGCAATCTAGGGCGCAAAGCACAAAAGTTAAGTTTAAAATGACCTGGGTTCTGTTTTTGGGTCACCACATAATTATTGTCGATGGAACTGTTCCAATAAAAACGCTAAAAAAGATTAATCAAGTATATGAGAGTCAGATAAAATACTGCAAAAAAAATTGAAAGTCTGAAACGAATATATTACAGACCAAATAAGCAGACAAATCATATTTTTAGTGTTTATAATGAGATGGATGAGCTTGGTGTTTTTCAGCGAGTTTTTTATTATATCTAAAATTACCCCGTTTACTGATGGAAAGGCGATTTCGTTGTTTTGATAGCGATAGCTGCACGGCTGAAAACCCCTCTTTCGCCATATCAGAGGTCGGGAATGGAAGAATCCAGGGTTCTACCTCCTCAAAAACCGCCGTGTACTCTTCTATTTAACTCCCTAAATTCACCCCATTTCACATTAAAATAATGAAAAAAAATTAATTTTCCAAAACCTATAATAATGATTTTCGTACATCTCATTCATCCCTACAGCCTGATGACCTTCACCAAAATACATGACGGTCTTCGGTACAATTCATTCCCGATTCCTTATCCTACCACGTCCTCCAGTCCGATCACCAGCTAATAGAATTAATCAGCCATTTGTTTTGGATTCGTGCACTCGGATGGCTCAGGGGTCAGCAAATTTTACGTCGCTCGCGGAACAAAATTTAGGGTTGCTATTTTTTGCGGATCGCATATGTTTTTTGAAAGTCGAAAACGGAATATCGTGCGAAAACTGCGACAATTTGTGAACTTAAGTCAGTCGTCTTATTAAAAAATTATTACAATGACAGTTAATGTGACACTGTCTTGTTGCTGCATCACGCTTTATAGCATCACGATGCCAAGATTGGAAGATTTTCTAAATGGGCATCACCACTCCTAGTTCTTTGTAATGTTCATTTTCGAAAATAATTGTTCGCACAAATATGTACTTCCAAACATCGAAGTGAATATTTTCGCATGGTTTGTGAAATTTTGATAAAGATTTTCTTTGAGAAGATACATTCTTACAAAAATCAAGCAGTGATGAATCTCTCAAATAGAATATGAATTTTATTTCCTTATTGCATTGTTATATATATCCGAATATTTACTGCGCTATTGAACCTCTGCACTCAGCATCAACTTTTCTGCGTGTTTCCATTTGTCTAATTATAATTAAATTGTAGGCTCGTTAAACGAGTAGCTGTTCAATATAATCTTAAGGATATAATAAAATTTAGTCTAAACGTGTCTCACGATAAATTCTGTTACGTAAAAAATGTAATTTACTCTCCGAGCGTAGATAATAAATAAAATGAATTATTCGTTAAAACCGCCGTTTGGATGTTTCCCCTGGCATAGACTTCCTTGTTTACTTCGTGACATTTGCCAATCGGCAAGGTGCAAAAATAAACGTAACAATGCCCACTTTCGCATCCACTCAGGCACATTCCTCACTCAGACAGACTTTCAGGCGTGGTCGTGAACATTACCTCATTTTCGCGATTTTGAATTATATTCGTTAGTTTTCAGTTGTTTTTTGGAAATTTAAATAAAATAAGTCAATGATCACCTTGTCCTCCTAGGAGTTTCAGTTTAATTACAGTAATCAAAAATTAGTGTAGAAATAGCTGTGATAGACTAGGCTAAAATTCTTTACCGGTACTTTTAAAAAACAGATTGTTGAATGGTATGAATTAGAATGATAGTTTGAAACAAAAACTGTATTTTATAGGCAACAACTCGCGAAACCACTCTTAAATAAGCACCGAAAATGTTAGAATGGTAAAGTATGGGAAGAATTTTCCTGGGTCAAAGGTCGGGGAAAGGTTCATTCAGTAAAGCGTCCGGGGCCAGATTACTACAGATTTTCCGACCACTGGGATACGCAAACTACCGTACCTTACTGCGAAGACGAGTCCAGCAATCCTTTCGCGTGTGTCATCGCCCACGTGATTCAAACCTACAAAAGCACGCAGAGTACAGTAATCAAGTGCACGATGCGCCGAGCAAAAACAGGTTTCGCGAAATCGGCCCCCTATCTCCCCCTTCGAGTTTTTTGCCCCCCCCCCCCCCCCCCCCTCTGTATCGTTTTCGCCCACCGGGGGGCCATATCGCCCACTTTGGGAGTCACTGGCTTAGTTCATTAATTTCTGGAAAAACCGGACTTAAATAATTTCGAAGTTTTGTATGCGGACATTCGGTAAAAATAGATGAGTAGCCTTGACCCAGGCACGGGTCGGCAACCCTTTAATAACTCATCTGGTTCTCACTTAGAAGTGTGTTTTGACAGACTTGTGACCAATGTTCCTTCTAATTTTTTGGAGTATGTGTGCGCAGAAATTATAGTGTGTGCGCACTTTTTTGGAAATGACTAATATTTGTGCAAAAACCAATGAAGAAATTTTGGCGTTCTAACCGGGTAATGGGTGGGCCAACAACAAACTTTCTCAACCTACCAACCGAGAACATTGTTACATTACATCAAAATAGGTCTGTGCGCAGTAAATCTATGCGTGTGCGCAGCCTTTGAAAGCTGTGTGCGCGCGCACACTTTAGAGGGAACACTGCTTGTGACCTATTTTTTACTCCTCTCGACTTATACTTTGGGAACCGGTGTGATGCGTAATTGGTAAGGTGTATCTGGTTTATGTCGACCTTTTCATTGAATTCATACTGCTCCTAATAAAATAAACTGTTGTTTATGCTTTGATTCACGGGAGTAAGAGCTCCAAGAACAATCTGGAGTCGCAGGTTGCCGATCGCTGACCTAGAGCAACGTTTCCCAGCAGGCGAGGAATTTTGATGATATTGGGAAAAAATACCATTTTGTATTTTGTGTAGTTTGAAAAAGTTGTTTAGTATTATTTTGATACTTAATTTGGGTTGTATAATAAACTGTTCATAAATTAGAGTACTTGTTGTGTGTAAAGGCAAAGCTAAAAGCTCCTGACCTCAGGTGATGCTGTTTTTCTCCATGATATCTCAAAGTATAAGTTGCACATCAAACGCTGAAAGTAGTTTTATTAGAATCGGTTTTACTAAAATACTCCCATATGTGGGAAATGCGGTGCATATCTATTGCAGAAGAGCGGCCATGAAAGAATAATTGTATCGAACAATTATCGAGTGATACCAAGACTATCACGTGAATTTGCCTTGGAATCATTGTGACGTAACAAGCCTAAATTGTATCTCATTACGTCAAACTCAATGCGGCGGTCAACCAGTTATTTTCACCTGGTTAACATTTTTTTTAAAACTCCCACCTCTAGTATTTGGACTACCTCAACCTCGATGGCGTATATATTTAACCAGGCCGCTATGAGCAGATTATAGTCTAAGATGAAAGGATGATGCCGATGCGTGAAATATTGTTTTTGTTCAGTGATGGAATTAACGCATTTTATTGGAGAATTAGCAAAAGCTTATTGTGGTTGCAAACATGTTACAGTTTTTCAAAATTGGCCTAATTTTCATTGTAACGTGGAATTTTAGTTCAACACAGTCATTTTAAGCGTTGGAGTTATAAACACAGCTCGGGTCGATGTATTCGTTCAAATTCAGAATTTTTTTTCTATGCGACTCGATATTGGGAAGATTTTAAATCAAATATTCGCCCCATGGGTTTGTAGGTTTTCCTTATATTTTGTTCAATGATAATTACTGAAAACATCTTCACGAAACGATCAGGATACCTCAAATTTTTAGAAACCTTTCAAGGAGTTTTAGAAAAAATATCAGATGTTTCCACTCGATCTCCCAACTATAATTTTTATTAATAGAATCGACCCAGCACAAGAGAACTCCCACTCACTCAGAAGCAAAGAATACTGATATCTTAGCGAAATTACGGTTACAGTGCAGGATTTAACGTTAGGCCTGGTATGCTGAAGCCTTGGGGCCCCGACGTTTAATTTTAAATTGTGAAGGCTTACTCCAAAATAAGACCGGTTTAAAATTTCATAAAACTGATAATTGTTAACGTTTCGCGAAATTTAACATTTTATTTATGACGCTCTGTCAAATTTATCATACACACGTCATAATGAAATATTTGTGTTGTCATTGTTAGAGGAGCCTAGCAAATGGCATAGCCAAGGGCCTCTCATTGTCGCAAATTAAGACCCTAAATAAGGCCCTGTGGCGACCTCTACAGTACCATTCATTGCTACTACAATCAAAGTTTAAATAATTTCAACAACTCTAGCTATTATCAATGGGTTTGTGGCCCAGCTGAAAATGTTCCTGTGTCCCAGAAGTGGCCATGGCCCACTGCTTGAGAACCAGTGTACTAGATAGTGTATCTAACACTGCCAGGAATAAAACCACGGCGGGTCATAGAGCATCGTTTCTGTAGTATTTATTTATTAAGGATGAACAATTGAACAAAAGATCAATGCTCAAATATATGGACACAAAGTAGGTATGTAATCTGCCACAGTAGTACCGTACCACAGCTGACCAGCAAAAATCAAATTACGCGAAAGAGGAATCGCCACAAGAAGCGTAATTTTTAAATGTAATAACGTGATCGCACACAAAAATTTCAAAGCGAATGGGTAAAAAAGCGATTTTTTCACAACAAGGAGAAGAAAAAGAAATTGACACGATCGACAACAATATAATAACAAAGCGATCCATACGTACATTCCGTGCACTCTTAGAAATGTTCGGTAAATTTTACCGTCATTTAAGGGGTAAAAAATGAGGTCGGTAAACTGATTCACCGACAAATGTCGGTAGTAATCACCGACATTGGAGGCGTGGCATTAGTAATAATGCGCGCGCACACTGGTTAAGGAGAGCAGCCAATCAGACGCTATATTGCACAGTACGATTCAACCGGTATACCGGTAGGTGCTCGCCACTAATACAGTCTAATAATACTGTAATAATTAGTTCAGAAGATCCAGTGTGCTGCAAAGACACACAAATAGATTCGAAGTTCACAATGCAAACGAAGAGACTTTATAAAATGGTGTAAAATCCACGCTTAAAGCAGATAAAATAAGAGCGACAAAATACGATTCTCATCCAGCGACAGCAGAAGCAAGAAGAGTATGACACTGCGAATTCGCAGCACAGTTCACATACGCAGTGGTGGTTGGAGTCGAGTAACTGAAACCAACTGTCGGGCAAATTAAGGCTCAGACTCCACACACCAATGCATATGCAATAACTAGACACGAAATATAAATAAAATACAAAACAATAATAAATAGGACAATTCCAGCCCCGCCCCAATACCCCCCATTTGTTTAGAGAAAATTCACAAAAAATTTACTCTCAAAAATAAAAACATTCCCGAAGAAAGGTATTAACTCGTAGAAAACACAATGTGTCAATCAGCAGGTATTAGCAAAATTACTGAAAGTATGGCAAATATACAGCATAATATTTACAAAATACACACTTGCAATCAATCATCAATTCTTGGCAAACTGTAGGCGTCTTTGATTGTTACAAGATTCAAATGTCTAAAGTCTATACAAAAACGAGAACTTCCGTCCTTCTTAGGAACGAGAACAATAGTTGAATTGTAGGGACTTTCACTCAGTTCTATTACACCTTGATCAAGCATGCTCTGTACTTGTTTCTCTGCAATTTCTCTCTTCGCCCATCCCATACGTCGAGGTGGAACTTTAATTGTTTCAGATGTTGACGTTTTAATCTTATGTTTGACTACAGAAGTTCGTCCAAGTTTTCCATCAGGGCCAGCAAAAACATCCTGAAATTCGACGAGCAAATCATGAACACTTTGACGCTGTTCATCCGTTAAATCTTCTGGATCGTCGACGAGCTTCTTTAAATGTTCAGGTAGTTCCCTGGTGTCCATGACATCACCAGGCACCACTTGTTCCAGCGAGAAAGACAGTTAGGTTTTCTCTTGGGCATAATAAACCGATCAGCAAATCCGCAGGTATTTCTACCGCTTCCTTGCTAACATTGACCACCATGAGAGGCACTTGACTGCATGAGGCGACCACTACTCCGGGAAATAAAAATAAACCACGATGGCCATACTCGCTCTCAAACACACACGCAGCTTCTGCCACAGCTAGGACGTCACTATTGGGTGTCCACGGGCAATTCAAACGACCATAAATCACCATCTCACTCTCTCTGGGAACAGTCACACATTTATCTACAACTAGGAACAGACGAAACAGGCTTAGTCAAGGAAACAGTTTTACCATCAACTTCCATTTGACCTACAGACATATGCAAAACACAGTCATGCTTTTGGAAATAATCCATACCAAGCAAACCATAGGGGGCACCAAAATCAGCAATAATCACTCTCTGAACAGCACACACAGAATCAATACAAATTTTCAAGTCAATCATCCCACGAGCTTTCAGAGAAGTTCCATTACCAGTTTGAAAACAAACATCACACGGAGACGAGTCACACTCCTTTCCACCAATAGAACAAAAAACTGCATAAACTATAAGCGTAGCAGCGCTACCAGAATCAATAAGAAAACGTACAGTAATGCTATCCACATAAACCATAGCATACCAGCTAGTGGGTAATCTCAAAGAACAAATCAAATTATCAAAGTCATGGTCCATGCATAAATTCGTCATCTTTTCAGTAGCAACTGAGGACCCCCGTGCCACTGATTTCTGTTTAAAGGCACATCCTTATTCTTGGGAGCACGGTGAAACTGGGGAATATTCCCACTGTCGCGAGTTTGGCCATTCCCACCCCTGGCAGAATTTGAGCTATTCCCTTGAGAAAAATATCCTACCGGGTCATTGATCGTTTGCTGGGCCGAATACGCAGTAGAAGGCTGCGAATTCTGTGGAACATAATATCTATCACACTGAGAAGCTATATGACACCTGCCATGACATCTCTGGCACAGGTTCTCCGGATGATGATGGAAATAAATAAAAGGAAAACTAATTATTTTTATAAAAGGGTCGAACCATGGAGTGTTAAGTTTAGATCTACGCTATTTCCATATTTACCTGCCTCCCTTGGCCCACTGTAATCGGAAGCCATTTTCCCTCCTTGGAAAATTTTGAGCGTGGGGTATCCAGATACACCGTACTCTCCGCATGTCCCTGTATTAGCCGTGCAGTCAACCTACCTCCATGCAGAAAAAAAACACTATGAAACTACTACACACACTAAACTAGTTGTATGGGGTGCTTGAAAAAGGCGTGGAACAAGCAGCTTCTGGTATGTGGAATTTATTCATAACACTTCCACAAAAATATTTTCATTTTTTGCTCTTAAGTTTAAACAAAAATTTCAAGCAAATAACCAATGATAGGCAAGGGGTTAAATGAGTGTTTTACTAGATTTGTTCAAAACAATATATAGGCCTATAGGCCCAGATCCATGTTGATAATATGGCTCAACCAATTATCGGAAGGTTACCAGTCCATGTCGAGTATGGGTATAGTTAACCAAATAAATGTTTTAGATGTTCCAACTATAAGAATCACCATCCAAAATACTTGAGCCACAAAAGTTGCTAATAAAGTATCGAATTTTGGTATAATTGCTTAATGTCAAAGTCCCGTGATTTGTGCATTATGTGCAAGAAAAATCAATATCAGCTGAAAAAGTCTAATCTTGTATCATAAGTTGTAATCAGATGATCGGGAGACCGTTTAAAATACTGCAATGAGAGAATTTTCCACCTCTAGTATAGGAAGGCATTTTAAAAACGTAACACCTAGATATCCTCCCAACACCAAACCACATATCTATACTAAGCCAACTACCCCACATATTAAACGTAGTAGGCCACCACCAAGCCCACCTGCCAACCTGCGGCCTCTGTACGGAGCCACCATTTCTCCTCGGTGAAATATTCTTAATGTTGGGTACCCGCCCACTTTGTATTCGCGACACACCTCTTTATTCGCAACACAATTTACCTGGCCAGAAAGTTGGTGGAATTTTTCATGGGTATTTAAGCTCTGAATAAAGCTTTAAGAAAACTTTCACTTATGAGTAACAGGTTACCCTTCTATTTTAGAATCTATCGAGTTTGGCATTGCTTGCCCCAGGGGTGTGCAATATTCCATGTACACAATGGTTGAAAAAAACTCACAATCACAATATTTTATGTTTTCAATATTTTAGTGGGGGACCTAAAATTTTGAGTTTTTGCACAGTTTGTTAACATAAGCTTCGACAAAAGGGTACTCCCGTAGTATGTGAACCAAGATGGTGGACACCGGAATGTGGTATGTGTACCAGGTTAGAGTTAGGCCAAAATTTTATTCCAATTTTTCTGATTTTAGTTCTATTACGAGTTCGGGGACTAGCCAAGTGATTCTCGTATTTTTACCTGAAATTATGGCTAACCCCAACCTGGTACACATACTACGTTCCGGTGTCCGCCATCTTGGTACACATACTTTAGGAATACCGACAAAAGTTGTGGCAACCCTCATTGACTGACTGCTCAAACATCATTTTTGAAAAAAGAGCCAAAAAAACTCTTTCCACTTTCAGCCCGTGGCTCGCAATCCTGCTTTGAGCAACATTGTACAAAAATTGTTGGGCCATAATTTTATTCCGTTTTTTTTTTTTAATTTTAGTTCTATTACGAGTTCGGGGACTGTCTGTGTTAGCCAAGTAAATATACCCCCTCCTGCCCATAGGCTTCAGTCCCTTTACACAACTTGATGTAAAGTAGGTGAACAAAATTAGTTACCACAATATCGGTACACATACTTCTGGAGCGCCCAAAAATTAATCTATTATTAAGGGATGCTTACCTTGATCAAAACAGCGCTGGACTTATCTGACTTAAGTGCAGTTGAAGCTTTCTCATATTCGGGTGCAAGTCTTTTGCAATGCCCACACCTGGGGAGGTTAAGAAAATATAAATTAATTAAGGTAAACAACAGTACTGGCTGGGGCATTTTAACCTCTTTATTTTTTTGCACATTTTTGATGTTATTCCACAGTTTTTGCAAGGTTTTTCATGTTATCATTCTGCCCAAGGAAGTGGCAAAATTTGATCAGCTACAATTTTTTACAAAACCATTTTTTTTTCTAAATTTTATTATTGCATTACCTATAATTTTTTGATCTGTTTTTTTTTTGATGCTGTCAATCTTGTATTAGAATAGGTTAAAATGGTCAGGCAATATGCACGTATTGCCTCACTTTTCTGTTTATATTACTAACCATAAGCTAAAGATGGGACAGAAATAAAGGCAGGGTGAGAACCATTGGCATGCTTTCCCATAACTCAATGGTCCCTTTTGAAGCGTTTGTTGGACTTATACATAAAATCGATCATCTTCAACTTAGTTGCAGGCTTGCAGCCTTATCTGAGACTAGACCATGGCGAGCAGAATAGTGCTTAGAACTGCAGCAAAAATTAATTTAAAGAATAAAATAATGGAACATACCATGGTGCAAAAAATTCAACAAGTGCGATGTCATAAGTTCCAATCTTATTTTTGAAATCGTTGTCTGTGAGTTCTATGACATCACTCCCCATCGCCACGGCAACCAAACAGGCAAAAATACCAAGTAACTTCATGTTTCTGTTTCTAACTATCCTACCGGTATGTGTAAAAGTAATAAATGACTGAAATGTCAAAGTGAGATGATTAGAATAATTCTATTCACTATAATGATCTTGAGTGACAATGCCTCGTATCAGAGAATCCCATTTTGCTGATGAACAGACACCCCTCCTTTCAGGGTCGTTTGAACATGGTTGTCTCTCGATATCAGTAGAAATACAGTAAAATGAAGTCACACAATAAACTAAGAAGCGCAATCTAAAAAAGTTATCATTGAATTCTTTAAAAAAAAAAAATCTGATTTACCATAAAAAATTTTTTAGCATGCCATTGAAGAGTTTTCAGCAAATACGGCCAGACGTCCGCAATAATATAAGATTATTATTGAGACAATCCTGGCACGATGGGACGCATTTGCCGTCATGCCAGGCGACCCTCGTTTCATGCCCCACATATGTATTGAAAAGTCGGACCCGACATTCTTGGAATATGAAAACTGTACTCGCAAACCCCTCTTTCAAAGTAAGGACTGTTCTTGCAACTGGAAAATTTGAGGCCAGTTCACTAAACACCATCAATTCCTTCTAGTTGGCGTGGCATAAGCATTTTCGCATATGTTATTTCTAACCCCCACCTGACTACATCCTGACATCATTCAAAAATTGGCAGACTCAGAGACCTGGAGACTGGCCTGTGTAACTGGCCGACTGGAGAAAGTCCAGGAATGGTCTAGTACAGCGCTACTCAACTGGCGGACCGCGGTCCGAATCCGGACCTTTCGACCATGAAATTTGGACCGCTCTGCTTGTTTATTTTGGCAGCATAAGCATCGTTTCATAGTTTTAGATGATTATGATACAATTTAAATACACAGCTATACAGCTTATTGTACTGGTACCGATATGCGATATTATTTGTGTCCATATTTGCGAGCCATTCATTGCTCTTGTATTTAATTTAATATTGCATTTGAAGTTTCGTTTATTTGACGAAATAAATTTTCTGTAATGTCCGGACCCCAGTAATTTTGAAGTTTTCATAAACGGACCTTTGGTGAAAATAGTTGAGTAGCCCTGGCCTAGTATGAGAATAGCTCAGTTCTGCACTTATTAAACCTGACACAGTCAAATGTTGTTTGCTTAGATTAACAGTCAGACAGTAGGCCTACCGGCCGGTACCGGTATAACATAAAAAAATCATAAATTTCTCCCTGTCATACAACATGTCAGCATGTTCTTGAAGTACAGGAATTTCGACTACTGTAACTTAATACAGTCTAATAGCAAAAATCTAAAATCGTGACATATCTAGTTTTCAGATCTCATCGTCTTATTACCGCTGGTAAAATATAAATTACGCTTACAGACTTACAATTCTTGAATTATAAATACGGCCAGGCGGCTGTGCGGTAATACCGGTGCCTGAATATAATTCACGAAAGACTTATTCGCAACTCAGAATTCTGTCAACCAAATAACATACATGTTAATTTATTAACGACGACATAAATCCTCTTCAAACTACCTAAACCCAACTTCATACTGCCATAAAGTCAATAAAATTCGAAAAATCACGACAAAATCTTTCTTGTGAAGCAGCGGGCCATGGAAATGCAACGTGTGCCTGAAACGACGTCACCCGGTGTTGGAGCAATCTGATTGGCTAATTGACTAAAGTCGATGATGCGTGAAGCCGCGCCGACAAAATAACTGTTTTCCGATTTGTTTCCTGCGCCGTTATTCTTTTCTTAGGTATTTAATTTATTGAGTATTAGGGTTATACTTGAATGGAATTGTATACAATTCGGGTAATTACGCAAAAATAGCGACACGTAGAATTATAGATCAAAGCTACGTCACGAAAATTTAGCGACTAATTTAGAAACACGGAAATATAGCGTGCACGTTACGTAAAACCCTCGCGCGTGACTTTAGTCGTCGCGTATTTGGAGATGATTCAGATTCAGACGTTTTTTAGTCAATATACGTTCTGCATAATTTTCTGAAATCAGGATAACTGTTGTTTATGAGTTCGATACAAACCCAATCCTAATATTTCCCCTTATTTGGTAGAGATGATATTGGTTTGGTTTCGGCGCGTAGGGTGGTTAACGTAACCGCTTGTCTTCCACCACCAAGTCCATGCAACTGAAATCAAACAAGACAGCTATGCTCAAATATGTGGACGCAGTGGGCAAAACTGAAAATTTCATCACTAATTTCACAAAAATAATATGCAGTAACTTACCAGTACCTGTATCGGGGTACCGAGACGGAACAGGAACTGTCGTAGATTTTTCAGGTCCTGTGACGATGATCCATTCTGCTTGAATTGAAAAACTAACTGATCCTAGTCACTTCTGTATTACCCGATCAGGTGCCGCAGTCTACCATTCTCTAAAAAAACTTCCCAAAATCATAGATAGTAACGTTAAGTCACCTGTATCCAGTGGTGAGCTGTAGCCGGAACGCACCGGAACGGCGTTCCGGTTGTTTATCGCATTTGCGTTGCTGTTTTCAAAAATAAAATTATGATTCGAAAAGTCTAATATCTGCGGGAAACTTAGTTATTAATTGATGTTTTGTTGCATCATAATTCTTTTTGCATTACAGCTGGCAAATAATTAGTGCACAGCAGTAACGTGTAACTGTAATGGATGTTTCGCCGACCCTTGACACCCGTGAAAATTCATCCAATACCTTTCTAATAATAACATTTGTATTGAATTAGTATGAACATTCTTCAATTTTGAACAGTCATATTTCAGGTAATTTTTTCATATTTCATTATAGTTCTTCGGCTCTATCTTACGACAGACAAAATTACTGGTAGCGTCGTGTTGTAAATATATATTACATTTTCACGAATTTGGTGCGTTCCGGTTATTACGATTTTTCCAGCTCATCACTGCCTGTATCGGGATAGCTTTTCAAGGTAGCGTAGTTTTCCCAGGTTTTGTTACGATGATCCATGCTTTTTGATTCAGTTTCGACGTGAATTGAAAAACTAACTGATCCGAGTCACTTGTCTATTACCAGATCAGGTCCCACCGTCCCACGGTCTACCGTTACTCCTATAAAACTAGTAGGATAGGATAGAATTTTACATATTTATCCCGGGGAGAGGAAAGCCGACAAGACGGCCCAATCATATGGCGAACCACGGTCTCTCGTCCGGTTACCAGCCCAGGTCGGGTATGGGACTAGTTAGCCAGGTATTTGTTTTTTCGGAAGCATAGACTTGATGGTGGAGGAAGCCGTAACCGACCAGCGGTTACCTGAACCACTCTACGCGCCGAAACCAAACCAATATCATCTCTACCAAATAAGGGGAAATATTAGGATTGGGTTTGTATCGAACTCATAAACAACAGTCATCCTGATTTCAGAAAATTATGCAGAACGTATATAGACTAAAAAACGTCTGAATCTGAATCATCTCCAAATACGCGATGACTAAAGTCACGGGCGGCGAGGAGTCCAGCAATCCTCTCGCACCTAATCATCCCCGCATGAGATTCGAACCTGTGAACCCAAGAAGTGTAATCAGAGATGCGGTGGCGAGCGTATTCTTAACGCCCTGCACGATGCGCCACACCGCAGCCGAGTAGAAATTTGACCTTTGAATGGGCGAAGCGAAAAATTCAAATTTGTTGGCAGAATTCACAACCGAAAAATGCAGGAGCGCAGTCAGGATTTTTCCAACGGGGGGTTACGGTGAAATTAAAACATTGCACCAAAAGTAAAATTCACGACGACGTGATGCGTTTAATGGACCTTTCCCCGACATCAAAACATCCGTATTTTCAACCAATCACAAGCGAGCAGATGTAAACAAACATTCTCCGCTGAAAAGTCGCTCAGACAACCTTGGACGCGTTCCGCACAGGTTGATGGCGGTTTAGGCAGATCTTTGTTCTTTTTTTTCGCTTTTTGTTTTCTTCACAGGGCTGCGAGAATTAGAAAGCTGTAATAATGTATGTTACTTGTCGCAAATCACGTTCACGAAATCTATATATCTATACTAAAAGGCTGTACCCGTTGCTGGCACATTACAGGAGGTACGGTACCGCGGTACGTACCGTACAGGTCAACCAACTGCTATTTCGAACCAAAAAATAGTAGACAGTCATGCTGATGCAATCAAGGGTACCGATAGCCTACCGTATGTCAGTACGGAATAATTCGCTTTCGATACGATGTTGCATTTTTATTAAACAGAATCTATTACTTAGTGAATTATTTCGGTAGACTAACTATGTGTAAACGCTGCGCATATGGTATTTGTCGGTCTGACAACCTGTACGGTACCCCTGCCGTTCAAATGGAGTAATATTTGTGCTATTTTCACATATACCACATATTGACCGCTGAAAAGCAATGAGGTGGATAAAGGCATGCAACAGGCCTTACAGTCAATTCAATCTAGGAAAAATCACCAGAAATACATACGTGTGTACCAAGGTAGGCCAACATTGATATTGTTTTCGATACCTATGATATATTCAATATGTTAATTCCTATATGAAATAAATTTTCATACAACAATGTGTTTCATCATGCATTTTCATGGAGGCGATGGACCAACTGATGAATACCCTGACCCTATATCAGATTCTTGTCGCCCAACATGCACCATCAAATTGTGAGGTAAGGATTACTTATACCATAATTTAACTTTGGATCCTAATTTGATAGGATCTGTCACCAAATACTTCATTTGATACAGAGACATGCGAATCTGACGAAAGTGAGAAGGAATTGTCAGGGATCCAACTAGACCTGCCTCCAGACTCCTTAGTTGAAACTACCTCAAGTGTCGCTGATGAAAATGACAGCGCTTTGTCAGACAGCAGAAAAATGTAAGCAAGCATCATCACCATCATTTTATTTTGTTTCTCTGGCATAAAATCACACAAAAAGCCAACATACAAAAAACCTGGAAGGTGAGCATAACTTAAAATAGATTTCAAAAAGTACGTGGCTACCTACCAGAAAAAGAAACAATAATAATAAAAAGGCACGAAAGAATTAACAAGATTCAGAATCTAGCAACACTTTTA